TGAATGTAGCCTAGGAGAAGAGAGTTCGAGTAAAAACTCTCTGAGCGTTTTCGATTTTATTACGTCCACAGTCGTTCATTAAACAAAGGCACTACTGGAGGACAGAAAGAGTTAACATTTAGTAACATATTAGTCTTATTTCCAGAGGGAAAAATTATGTGATATGAGCCCACCTGTCTGTTCAACTATAGCAGAGTTTCCATCTGCATGAGGTGATAAAGTATGCTTATTTTTATAACTTAAATATAAGTCCTTTATGGTAAAACTTTCTAAGAGTGGGTGATTCTAAAAAAATCATGTGACTAAGAAGCTTGGCAGGACGAGAAGACAGGATTTAAGTTTTCCGAGTCTCCTGAGTCCTGGACACCCTGACGGCCTCTCGGAACTTACAAGTCGATTCTTCATAGCAATATCTCGATTCTCACAGAATTTCAACGGGAGTCTCGTTCGGAAAACCTATCTCCTTTCGACCACACCAGGACTTGTGAGGGATAACCTATCTTCGTCCAGTCGCCTCTCTGCAACAGCACTGAGCTATCCCCAAAACCTACGAAAGGCTGAGTCGTTTACCTCATATCCTCGATCTGGTTGAAAATTCGTGTCATACCTTTAAGAAAACCGTTTGAAACTTGTAAACTCGGTAATGTTATTCAGAAAAATGCCCTCAAAACACGGTGTAAAATGTATGCCCAAGGCGGGATCTGAACCCGGTCTATCGGTCGGACAGACAACCGTCGATACCACTAGGCCACTGACTTGCGCCAACGTTGTCAAAAATAATAATACATATTGCATTACGCATGATATTAATGACTGCAGTGTTGGACGTTCTGCTGTCAGACCAATGCCCGTAAAACGCGCAAAAAGTCTAGTGACGTTGGGGGATGTTCAGTTCAGTTCAGTTTATTGAGGGAAATAGGCGTAAGCCTTTGAGTACCCTATTTGCAACGTAAAAAAATGTGTGGTGTACAGATAGATGTTCTGGGCTGAAATAGTTCGAACACGCCCATAATGGTGGGACAAAATGAGAAGGAGTTACAGGGGGTGAGCTCGACTTCTCATCGCTCTTGGTCATTTCGGAACATAAATATGTCCAGATTCTTCTTAAAACTTTGTATAGATGGTGACATCACAACATCTGCTGGAAGCTCATTCCACGGTTTGACCACCCGAACCGAGAAGGAGAACTTCCGCACATCCAGCCGTGCCTGCTGAGTGCGCAGTTTTAACGAGTGACCTCGGAGGTTGGTCGTGGTAGCAAATTCAAAAAAGTCCTCGAAGGCCAGACTGCAATCCAACCCCTTTACAATGCGGAAGGCTTGCAAGAGATCTCCGCGAAGTTGCCTGTAACTCAAAGGAAAGAGGTTCAGATTTACTAGGCGGGTCGCATAAGGAAAGGAGCTTTGACCCCTGACCATCTTCGTGGCTCTCCTCTGGACTCTTTCGAGGCAGTTTTGATCCACAACACCCCACGGCCTCCAAGCTTGTATGCCGTACTCTAAATGCGGCCGGACGAATGTGGGCGGATGGTTTTAGGGAACTCGTCGTAAGCACACCGAGGTCCTTTTGGGCTTCGACCTCTTGTAGGGCTGCACCGCCCAGAAAGTAGCCTCTTGTGCTGGCGGATCTGGCTGTGTTGCCTAGGTGAAGTATGCTACATTTGGCAACGTTGAACCGCAGAAGCCAACGGTTTGACCACTCCTCCAACCGATTCAGGTTCATCTGCAGTCTGTCTTCATCGGCAGGACCACGAATTACACTCCATATCTTCATGTCGTCCGCAAACATTGCTACTTCACAGTCCAAATCTCTTGCGGCATCGTCCACGTAGATAAGGAACAAAATGAGTCCCAGTACTGAACCCTGGGGGACACCACTTTCGACCATAGCCGGATCTGGTTTTCCCCGACCGACGCACACAACCTGGTGTCGACCCACAAGGAAGTTTTCAATCCATTTATGGAAGTTGCCACCGATCCCTATTTTTTCAGCTTATGTAAGAGCCCTTGGTGTGGCACAGTGTCGAAAGCCTTCTGGAAGTCGATGAAGGCTATGTGGTCCGCGTGCCTGTCGTCGAGAGCTTGGGTCCAGCTCTGGAGAGATTGCAGCAGGTTTGTCGTGCAGGATCTTCCTTTTCGGAACCCATGTTGGAATTTCGATAGCAGGCCGTGAACTTCCAGGAATTGCATTAGTTCACACTTTATGATCCTTTCCATGTCACATACGACGATGAAATCTGTACCACATATTTCGGACTCGTCCATAAAATTTCAAAAATGGAGGGGGAGTTAAAAGGTCTAAAAATTGAGGTAGAAAAATTAAGGCAGCTTACTCACCACTTACGTGAAGAGAAGAAGCCGACGAATTCGGCAATTCAGAATCCGAAAAAAACATATGCAACCACGGCTTCTTTAGCCAAATCAAACGCTGAAACTGACTTCGGTTCGTCCAGGGAACTAGACACAGTTGAATGCCAGTCTCTTAGGCGAGAAAAAGACCAGCCGAAGCGAGCTCAGATAACAAAGAAACATTCCAGAAAAACAACGCGCACCTCTATACGGTCCAAAAAAACGAAGGCCGCCTACGTACACGCAGACCAGCGAAGGAGAACGACCAGGAGGCCTACGAAGGACCGCCAGAGGCTCCCAAATATGTTGAACAATAACGATATCGGAACGCCTTGTGGACCGAATATTCAGGAGGAGGTTTCGAAAGAAACTGAGGTAAACTTTTTCGACGAACACCTCGGAAACACAGAAGGATGGGTTATCAACAGGAAGATAAATGAATCGTACACGGATCTCAGTTTCGCTAGCCCAA